GGGGCGGGCCGTGGGTCTACCGGGCTGAGCGAATCAGCGCGGGCGGCGGCTGGGGAGCTTGCGCGCCCTGCGGCGGCTGCGGCTGCTGCGCTTGGCGTCGTCGTCGCTGGCGGCCCGGCCCGGCCGCTCCGCTGCTGCGGCTGCTGCGGCTGCTGCTGCGGCGGCCGCTCGCCGAGCCCCATCTCCGCCGAGGCGCCCGCGAAGCATCGCGCGGCCGCGGGAAGCTCGCGAAGCCGCCGCCGCCGCCGCCGCCGCCCGCCCGGCTGCGAGCAAACAGCCCCGCCGAGCCCGCGCGGCCCCGCCCCGGGCCCTGACGGCAGCAAGCACCTGTTCGGCCGCCCGCGCTGATTCGCTCAGCCCGGTAGACCCACGGCCCGCCCCACAGGTGCTGCCCCCGGGCCCGCCCCGCACGCAACCCCTCCCCGCCCCGCTGGCCCCAGAACATTCCCGGCGCCCGCCCCGTTCCCGCGGCTCCGGCGGGCACCGCGGCGCGTCCCTCGGCGCGTCTCGGGCCGCTGGCAGGCCGCGCGCGGCCGGGAGACGCGGCCTCTGCGGCGCCAGCCCCGTCCCGTTCGCGGGGGCCCGGCTCCGGACGCGGTCGCCCGGCCACCCCCTGCCGCCCAGGGCCGGACCCCCACGGCGCCCCAGACCCTCCGTTCAGAGCCCCGCGTCCCGGGAGGCCGTCGGACCCGCTCTCCGGCCATCTGTGGGCACGGCCCCGATACCCCTGGGCGAGCTGGGGCTTCGCCCACTTGGGCTTCCTAGTGCTGCACCCCCCTAATCTTTCCACCAGTTTTTTCCGGGGGTCAAATGCCCTCCTCATCCCTGGCCACGCGCTCCTTGTCTAGAAATAGGGTCTCCTTTGGGGAGGGCACCCAAACAACCGCAGAGAGAGAGTCAAGAGGGGAAGTAATTTAACACATGCAATTTGTGCGGGCGGGGGGGGGGCGTTCTTGTGGCCCTAAGCCCTGGATCTTTTTGGTACCCAGCCAGTGTGGTAGGCAGTCCTGCTACTTCTGTGAGGAGAGCCGGATCTGCTGCTCATTCTGCTGAGCAGGGCCCCAAATACCTGCCCTAGATTCCTACCCAGAGGGAATTACTGTACCTTAGGAAGAGGGGCATTGCTAGCCACATAAGGGTGCATTCCTTGCCTGATTTAGATAAGGGAGGAAATCCTACAACTCCCAACATTCCCCAGCCTGCTATGGCCTTCCTTTAACCCCAGTCTCTTTTAAATCACAGCGGTTGTTGCATGATGTGGGCTGCTGAGGTAGGCTGAGGCATGCTGGGAGTTGTAGGATCTTTTTCCATTTAAACACGCACAGGATGGTGCCTTAAAGAGCCCAGGGCCCAAGCCCATAGATACACATCTGCAAGTGGAAGGCAGGTGCACTTCCACTGACCCATGAGAGCTGCAAGTGATCTCTTTTTCTAGCCAGGATTGGCAAACAGACTTTCATTTTGATTTTCATTCTTTGTTCTACCAGAGCAGAATGCACTCACGCCATCGCTGCTGCTTCATTACCTTCTGGCAAGGGTGGCGAGAGATGCTTAGAGCATAGGAAACTGCAGTGTCCTGAGTCAGGCTATGGGTTCCTCTAGGCCAGTATCCTTAACACTGACTGGCAGCAGCTCTCCAAGGTTCCAAGCAGGTTCTTTCCTTGCCCAACTGGAGAAGCTGAGGACTGGAGACCTTCTGCATGCAGAGGTGTTCCACCACTTAACTGAAGTCCCTATATGCCGTGTGCCCTTTCACTTGGCCACTGAATGAGAAGGACGGACTCCCTGGAGAAGAGCCTGATGCTGGGAACAATTGACAGCAAAAAGAGAAGGGGACAGCAGAGGATGAGGTGGCTGGATGGAGTCACTGAAGCAGTCGGCGTGAGCTTAGGTGGACTCTGGGGGATGGTGGAGGACAGGAAGGCCTGGAGGAACGTTGTCCATGGGATCGCAATGGGTTGGACATGACTTCGCGACTAGCAGCCACCAGAATGTGAGCATATATGTATCTGTGCAGCCAGTGAAGTTTAATAGTACTTACTTCCATGTCAATGGGGATGGGTCTGTGACTATAGTCCCAAAAAGAGAAGTAAATGTCGGCATGTGGTTTTTTTATCTTTAGAAAAAGGATTTGTGTTCTTGACAGGCATAGCTAAACACTTCAGCCCATTTGGGGTGCAATCCTAAGCATGTTTAGATGGAACAAGGTCCTACAACTCCCTCCCCAGAAGGACATTTTTCTGCCTAAACATGTGTAGGATTGTACCTTTAACAAGATTCACTGATTACCTTTCTGCCTTGCATTCTTGGTCCAAAAGGGCATTCCAATAGAATATGGCATGAATAACAACATACAGGAAGTCAACTTTTATGCACCTTCAGAGGTGGGCCGGGGCAGCAATCTGGAGTGAGCCAAGGACCACGAGTCTAGGTTGCCACATTGTCAAGATCAAAGGGCAAACCAGAAAAGCCAGGAGCCAGGTCCAAAAATCAGGACCCAAAACACATGGCACACTGGAACTCAAATCCAGTTTGTATCCAAGCAAGAATAAGCTGCAACTAGAAGGGCAATTTTATTTATGTGTCATATTCAGGGCTTTTTTTGTCATGGCATTCTGGCACCTTTTTTCCCAATAGATTTTACTAAGTGATTTTGAATCATAGCAGATCAGCAGCAAACATCATTAACAATAGTGCCTGCGGGCTGCTTTTGCAAGTCTGCTATCTGCTACCTGATAGTGAGATGGTGAGGGCGCCTGCTCGGCTTGGGATGCTGCTCGGCTTGGGATTGGTGTGTCTGGTCACGCAGCGTGCTGAGTGCTAACTGCCGGCAGCAACGTGAGTTCTGGCACCTTTTTTTTTTTTTTTTTTACAAAAAAAGTACTGGTTATATTTATATCCCACCTTGTTTCTTTCAAGGAACTCAAGGCAGCTTACATCATTCTCCTCCTCCATCTTATCCCCACAACAGCAACCCTGTGAGGTAGGTTGGGCTGAGAGTCTGTGACTTGCCCAAAGTCACCCAGTGAGCTCCATGGTGGAGCAGGGACTAGAATCCAGTTCACCTGAGTCCCAGTCCCATGCAGTTCACTGCTATATCACACGGGCCCAAGACGCTCTTTCCTGCCCAGAAGGATCTGATGGCTGACCAGTCTGGGGTGGGTGAAGTCAATCTGGAAGGCTCTTCACTGAGAGGATGCATTATGCAATTCAACCTCACAGACCATGGTTTGGTTGGACCTGACACCAAAAAGCCATCATATCTATGGAATGCGCTCCCCAGAGAGGTCCGCCTGGTGCCGTCGTTATTTGTTTTTCGGCGCCAGGAGAAGACCTTTTTATTCAAATGCGATTTTAATTGTTAATATTATTTATTTATTTTATTTTTTGGGCCAGGTTGACTCATATTATATTGTTTTATACTGTCCTTATTTATTTATTATTGTGAGCCGCCCCGAGGCTTCGGTGAATGGGGTGGCATAGAAGCCTTCTAAATAAATAAATAAAATCATATCCACAAAAGTAGACGAAACGTGTCCCATCTGCCACCATTACAATCTTCTCCATGGTGCAGATAGTCTCTCCAAAGAGAATGGCCAAACATCTGAAAGGGTTTTAGAAAGGGTGGGTTTCTTTAGGCAAAGCCTTCCACTGGTGGGCTGCCATCTTGGAGAAGGCCTGAGCATTAATAGCTGTCCTTCCTTCTGTAGTGCTATGAATGAAAGGAAGCACAAGGCAGAGCTTTTCTTGAGGATCTCAAAGCACAAGGAGGGAACGCTTGGAAGATGTTCCTTCAGCTACTTGGACCCAAGCCACTCAGGGCTTTTAAAGTCAAGAGCAGTTCTTTGGCATCAAGGTCCTGCCCTTAAAATCCTTTCAATCAGTCCTTAAAAGCAAACAAAAACAATTTTGGAAGACATCCTTAGCAACAAAATTATGGGATGGTTTTCTGCCCAGGAGAGCGCAAAAATTTGGAGCCAGCCCTGCTGGAAACTGGCTGGTTACTGGTGCGTTTGGCATACTAGGTTCCTTCCTCTTCCAGCTCGCCCTGCCAGCAGGCGGTCTGCTCTGTTATGGACCAGCTGCAGCATCTGAATGGTTTTCCAGAGTAAAGCTGCAGCAATCCTTCCTAAAAGAGTTCAAATGCAGGATATTTGAAGAGTTCATTGCAGGATTTTAGTTTCTTGTGGGGAAAGTGTCTCCACCGCGTTGGGTTTCCCAGTCTGCTGACTTCAAAGCACCCACACACAGTTTGTTTTATGGGAAGAGGACCACTCTTTCATGGATCCTGTTATATTAGTCACCAGTTGCTTTCTCCCTCTCTCAGACAAGTGGAAAAGAACATCCAAAACAATTACGCCTTCTGCTGGTAGAACCTGTTATAATCCTTCTGGCCTGATTAGCAAAATCCGCTCTGCTGCTAGTCTTAAGCCCAACTGCCTCCCCTCAGTGTGTGCACACAAAGGGTTTAGTGGGAGAAGGATTGAATGCACCCTGGACAAAGACTTATGCCCATTTTAAGCTGGAATACCAGATGGGGGAGAGGGCGTGCAGGCCCCACACATATGCCAGTCTCCAGTTCGTTGCCCTCTTTGTGCAGACAGTGCCAACATGCGTGGCTTCTGTCCCCCCCCCCCCCATGGCAGTGGCTTGCCATCTCAGAACAATGCACCGGCTGACTCCCAGCCACATCCGCCCCCCGCATGCCGCTTCGTGCACTC